CCCTTAAAAACGCAAAATGATACCCAACTATGACCAAGTCCCAGGGTAGTTCCATGGTCCCTTAATACGGGCCCTTCAAAGGGTTTAGGGTTTAGGGTTTAGGGTTTAGGGTCCCTAAACCCTTATGTACCCTGCAAAACCCAAGGGCCCATACTTCAGAACCCTGTAAAGGAGGCCAGGGACCATACGAAGGGCCCATGTAAACCCTAAACCCTAAGCCCTAAGCCCTAAGCCCTAAGCCCTAAGCCCTAAGCCCTAAGCCCTAAGCCCTAAACCCTAAACCCTAAACCCTCCAAAACCCTTGGACGCTTAACAACCCTTAGAAACTCAGGAAGCCTTAGACCTAGAGCCCAATTCTAAGTGGGCTTTTGGCCAAGAAGCCGAAAGGATAGGTTTGGGGTTTAGGGTTTAGGGCTTGGGGTTTGGGGTTTAGGGTTTCGGGGCTGTGGTTTAGGGCTTAGGGTTTAGGGTTTAGGGGCTTAAAGGGTTTCCCTACACTTGGCCGCCTCCTCCTGCCAATCTTTCAGCACTTCGGACTCGCTGTTGCTCTCCTGGGCTTGATTAGGGTTTAGGGTTTAGGGTTTAGGGTTTAGGGTTTAGGGTTGAGGGTTTAGGGTTTAGGGTTTAGGGTTTAGGGTTTAGGGTTGATCGGGTCTTTCGGTGCTTACCTTGGGGGCCAAGTGAACCCTGAAACTGGGGTCATATACCCCATGCTCGTACATTCCCTAGATGGTATGTGGACCATAAACACGTTTAGGGCTCATGTAGTCCCCAAGGTGGAGCTTCGGGTTTCGGGTTCAGAGTTTAGGCAGTTAGGGTTTAGGGTGAGGATTTAGATTTGAATTGGGTTTAGGGTAGGGCTTAGGGCTTAGGGCTTCGGGCTCAGGGCTTAGGGCTTAGGGCTGCTTAGGGCTGCTTAGGGCTGCTTAGGGCTTAGGGCTTAGGGCTTAGGGCCTACTGCTCTGAACCCTTTTTAGACGGACTCTAACAGACCCCAACCTAAAACCCGGCGAGCTCACCAAAGCACTAACACCCCCTCCCCCGCCCCCCCCCCAGCAAATCAATACGCAATTCTTCGAGCGCCGATCCCCATACGCTATACTTTTCTTGGTAGCCCAGTGGCCATCTTGTATTCAGGAAACCCTAAACCCTAAACCCTAAACCCTAAACCCTTTGGTTACTTTATAAGGGAACCTTGAACCCGAATAAGGGCAAAGGGTACCGATGGGCTACCAAGTCCTAAAATCCCATATCCCAAAACCGCAGCTCCCGATGCGGCAAAACAGGAGAAAAAGGTTTAGGGTTTAGGGTTTAGGGATTACGTAGGGCTTATAGGCCCTGCAATGTACCCTCCAGCGCCCAAGACCTACTCCGCCACAGGTCCGCATTGCAAAACCCGTTGCAGGATTCTCATGCAAAACTACAGAAGGTAGGTTTTAGGTTCTTGAGGTAGACTCTAAGCCCAAAACCCTAAACCCAAACCAGATAGTAATGCCTGTATCACGTGTAGGAGGAAGAATATTTCTCATTGTTATTTATTTATTTATGGTTTATTCATTTATTTGTTTTCTTGTTATTATGATTCTTTTATGATTATTACAATTATTTATGTTCTTTTATTTGGGGGGGGGGGGGGGTTTTTAAGCAAATAGTAGTAGATGGGATCATCACCTACAAACTTGGGAGGGTCTGGGTAGGGGCTTGTTCATGCCGCCGCTCGGCGGCGGGAAGCGCCAGTGGCAGTTTCAGCGGCTCTTCCTCGATCCAGTCCTTCGCAAGCAGCTTCAAAAGACTGATGTTTAGGGTTTAGGGTTTGGGTTTAGGGTTTAGGGTTTAGGGTTTAGGGTTTAGGGTTTAGGGTTTAGGGTTTAGGGTTTAGGGTTTAGGGTTTAGGGTTTAGGGTTTAGGGTTTCGGGTTTCGGGTTTCGGGTTTCGGGTTTCGGGTTTCGGGTTTCGGGTTTAGGGTTTAGGGTTTAGGGTTTAGGGTTTAGAGTATGAGGATGGCCCCTAAAAACCCTCTGAAACGCATTCCCAAACACGACCCTCTTAAACCCAGTTAGGGGAAAAGTGTAAGAGATCCCAAGGGCCTACCTAGGATAAAGACTTCGGGCACGAGATCCACATTCCAAACCGACCCCTGCACAACCCGGATTGAAAACAATCCTGTCTGTGGACCTTGGAGACCACATGAACCCAAATCTTCAAATCTTGGGGTCATCTACCCTATGCTACAAAAATCCCAATTAAGGTTAATAGTAGCATAGGGTTTAGGATTTAGGCTTAGGATTAAGTTAGGTGTTAGCGCTGCTATGATCTGCTATGCAGTTTGCGTCAGTGCTTCGGACCTCTCCGCTACAGTCCGCTACAGCTCCGGTACAGCTCCGCTGCAGTGTCCGTTACAGCTCCGTTGCACCTGCGCTGCAGCGTCCGTTGCAGCTCCGTTACAGCTGCGTGCCAGCTCTGTTAAACCCTATAAACCCTAAACCCTAAACCCTACATAACGGACAGGGGCCTTTGCGCTGCAAATCCTGCAACGGACAGGGGTGTGGCGGACAACCCGTGTTGCTGAAGCGGCTGGACGTTATGGCCATAGTGGCGATGTCAAAATGATGGTACAGCTAAAGCCTAGAATGATTGCATCCGGACCAAAGCATGTTTAGGGTTCATTTAGTCCACAGTAAGGTATGTATCTTGATGTTGTGTCTGTACATACGCCTCTCTACACACCTGGTCTGTCTCGGGAGGAACACACCCCCCAACTTGCATGGCAAGGCTTGTTGGGCACTCATGCGATATCCTTTTTTTGCGGAAAAAGGGAAAGAGCTAAGTGTAAGGTGCCGCGGGCGCCGGGAATGCTTGCCGTCGAAACCCTACAGACCTCGAAGCAGTCTTAAACGTTCAGACTGCCCAGGAGGGTGAATTATGAGAGAGTTTATAATCGGGTTCAGGGCGACGTCGTGCTGCGGTAACTTTGGCATAGACCCGAGCCCGCCCCCCCTTATATTTGGGGTCATCTACACTATATGATATCCCCTATAATATAGGTATATAGGTATACGGACCCAAAACCCCTTTAAGGTTCATCTAGTCCACACGGCTGTTAATTCACAATTGTTTAACTTTGGGATGTTCCCCCCTTTTACTTAAACAGCCCTTCATAGGGATTCTAGTACCCCCCCCCAAAAAAAAAAATCCATGAACCATGTTCATCTTGTCATAAACCGCAAACCCTTAGACCCTTAGACCCTTGAACCCTTAAAGCAGTTGAGCTTGTCAACCCCTCTGAGTCCTTGCTGGCAGCTGGTGGGGCGGCCACGCTGTCGCAGCCTCCGGTGGCCCATGCTCCAAATGCCCTTAACTGAACACCCTCAACCCTAAACCCTACAGCCTACGTCCTAAACCCTAAGCGCTAAACCCGAAGCCCTAAACCGTGCCCTTCACTGAAAACGAATATTTCTTCCATAGGATACAAGTAGCATCATAAACAAGGAGCAGGGCTGGGGTGGTGTGAGTCTTGGCCGGATGGCAACCTTTATCCCAACTTGGAAACCCTGTACAGGTCTTGGCCACCCATGGCACCTGGCGGAAAGAGTTTAGGGTTTAGGGTTTAGGGTTTAGGGTTTAGGATTTAGGGTTTAGGGTTTAGGGTTCAGGGTTTAGGGTTTAGGGTTTAGGGTTTAGGTTTAGGCCCGAAGAACAGACAGCTTTACAACAACCCCGATACACTCTCTGGTGCTTTGAGACTCACTGGCTTAACCCCGAAAGTGCGTGTGTGTGTGTCATCCATATACCAACTAGAAAGGGAGCTCAAGAATTAAAAACATAAAAAACCTAAACCCTAAACCCTTAAAACCCTAAACCCTAAACCCTTAAAACCCTAAACCCTAAACCGGAAAGGGTTCCCAATTTAGGGATTCGTTCGGTTCCCGAGGTGCCTTCTGACGCAGCTTTGCGCGAGGCACTTCGCTGCCAGGCCGGTCCGGTCAAGGCCCGCACGTATCCTGTTTAGGGTTTAGGGTTTAGGGTTTAGGGTTTAGGGTTTAGGGTTTAGGGTTCCCGCACGTATCCTGCAGAGTACAGATGCGTGGGGCTTCCGGTGTCTTCCTTAAGAACCCAAAGCCTACCTTGTGGCGGGCTACCTACGACATCTATCATTATGAGGGGCTTGATTTGACAAAAAGAACCTGCCAAAAAACCCAAAGGGTCCATGTACCTATATGGTATATACTTGGGCCTTAAAGGGGTTCCTATGTAGTAGCTTTAGGGCCCAAGTATATACTATATGGGTACATGGGCCCTTAGGGAAAGTAGGCTCTGGGTTCTCAAGGTTCGGACATAGGGTCTGGGAGTGACATTTCGGTCGTCGAGGTCGGTTTAGGGTTTAGGGTTTAGGGTTTAGGGTTTAGGGTTTAGGGAGGTGAAGGGTTTTGGGCTTCAGGGGGGGGTGCAAAGCCTTCTTGCCCTTGCTACTTCCTTGGGGACCCAATGAACCCTAAAATTGGGCTCATATACCCTATACTACTATCAGGCCTAGAAAGGGCACGTGAGACAACAAACCCTTCTAGGGTTCTTCTATATCATAACTCCTACCAAGGACATATGACAATGAACCATAAACCCTTTTGGTTTCTACCATAGCTCCAATTCAGGTAAGATGAACCGTAAACCCTTTTTGGTTTCTACTCGAACTCCTACTAAGGATAGAAGTCCTTGGGACTGACGTTGCTTGTGAACATGCCCAACAAAATGCGGCACGGCAGAGAGTCTGGCGCCCGACACCCGGTGATGCAGGATGCGTCCACCCTACCATCAGAAGGCAGAGAGCAAGGCGGCCGTAGGGCGAACCCCCGACACCTGCAGGAGTCTCCGGCGTCCCGCAAGACCTCCAGCACCATGCTTGCCGATGGGCCGTAGCAGCATGCTACAAGCTATGCACAAGAAGCTGGAGGGAGCCTAGAGAAGCTTGACTGACCCAAGCGGAGGCCGAATGAAGGACGAGTTCACGCTGCGCCGTCCTGGGCCGAAGCCTCCGCCCGACGACGAAGTGCCGCACGGGCGTGATGGCTGCGGAGCAAAACCGACACTTCTTGAAGGAGCTCTGCATGTAGGATTCCGGCATCAGCGCCGGTCCGGGCTGCGACGGCACGGGACAGGAGCTGTAGGGTTTTGGAGGCAGCTGGCTCCCAAGCCCCGGTGGACTCCACGACAAGTGGCACAAAACGAACCCCCTGCGAAGCGCAAGCGTGGGCTGTTTGGAGGTAAGCTCGCTTGGTCTCAGCGTACTGGGATGCAGACGCGAGGGCGTGCTGTCCCGCCTGCGCAAGGGACTCCTGCCGCTGCGGGGCCGTGACGGCCAGGTCAAGTGCAGCAGGGGCTCCAGACAAGGAGGGCAAGAATATGTCGGCGGGCCTGCTAGCTGCTAGCTGCTAGCTGCTAGCTGCTAGCTGCTAGCTGCTAGCTGCTAGCTGCTAGCTGCTAGCAGCTAGCTGCTAGCTGCTAGCTGCTAGCTGCTAGCTGCTACCTGCTAGCTGCTAGCTGCTACCTGCTACCTGCTAGCGAGCTGCTAGCTAACTGCTAGGCCGGCGCCGGGACAATTGTGCTTCACCGGGTCGTTGCGGAAGAAGGAGGCCAGCTTTCTCGACTTCAGGCTGCAGGCCGGCGCGGTCTGCCCAGGAAGCAAGCAGATCACGCAGGGCGTTGTGTCTCTGAGTGCGCTCGCCACCCGCAGCGCAAGTGCCTGCGTGCAATGCAAACCGGTCCATGATGCCATCGCATTTTGGGTACCAGGCATCTCCTGGCGCATCAGGGACACCCAGGCGGCGCCGGAGCTCCATGACAAAGGCCGCACCTTCCATGCGAGTTTTGGCAACAGGAACAGCGGCAAGCCAAGCACGCGCACCTTGTTCAGCTTCGGAGCGAAGGAGTGCCCGGGCAGTGACGGACGACACTAGGAGGTGTTGGCTCCAGCTAGCTGCGTCACACAGGGCAGTCAAAGCCTTTTGTCGCATGCCCAGCGCCAGATGGGAGGCCAAAGGCTGCGCAAGGAGCGCGCTGAAGGAGGAGGCAGCAAGGAGGACTGTGGGGTCGGACGCAAGCCCACTTGCCGCGTAGCCAGGGTCAAGCTCCCTACACGCCTGCGCGCACCCTCCAACCGAGGCGAGGTAAGCGGCCGGTGCATCGCGAGCGACCGAGCGCAAGCCAAGGCCGGCATGAGCCAGATCGCGGGCTGCCTGCTCCCACTGAACGTCAGTCAGGTGGAGGCCAGTGAGCCCCGAGAAGCAGTCTAAGGATAGATGAACCAGGTTTCTACTATAACCCCTACCAAGGATGGATGAACCCTAAACCCTACACATAAACCCTTTTAGGGCTCTACTATAACTCCTAATTACAGAGGATGGATAGATGAGCCATAAACTAAACCCTAAACCCTAAAACCCTTTTAGGGTTCACTTCCTCCCCAATAGTTGCGGCCACGGGTGCGAAGCCGCGCGCAGGCGATCACCAT